GACTGAGCCACCCCGGCGCCCCTTAAGTTGTGATTCTTAACAGCAAACAGATACATAGTTTGTGTCCCCAGGTGACAACACCTCTCTGAAAGGAGATGGGTTTTACTTTATCTGGTCCATCGGGCACTTGGTCCTGCAGGTCTTACCTCTTGGTGGTGTCATGCACGACCGTCAGTGCCCAGGGTGACCCCCAGTTCTGTGTGTCTGTTGCTCTGACTGTGGGGGATGCCCCCTTGACTCTGACAGGAACCAGACCCCCTCCTGTTGTTTCTGAGAGAGTTCTCCCCAAGGAGACAGAGCGCAACAGTGATTATTCATGACACTGATCCTGGGATGGGATGTTGCTTGAAAGATCTGGGTTTGCAGCTCGTCAAGAACAGACGGGTGCCTGACTGTGTGTGTCTGTGTGTGGGGGGGATCAGGAGAAGATTGCCCCTTAAGAAATGGAAGAGGCTGGGCTTCCTGGGGACTGAGCCCACACTTTGCTAAGAGCAGTCAGGTTTGTGTGCATTGAAGTGCACAGGTGGGGACTGGCCGTGCACCATTCTGGTGGCCAGGACCCTTCCGCGGTGCTTCATCTGATGTGTTTATTCCTAGATGCTCTCTGAGGAGGGCTTCCCTGCCTAGGGTGTCTGCAGTGTGCGGTGGTGTTTTCCTTTCAGTAGAAGGTTGGAAGAAGGGGGGACAAGGGCAGCACCGTGGTGTAGGTCAGGGCTCTGGGCTCCCATAGTGCTTCTCCCGCTAGGGAGGGCCGTGGATGTCTAAAGTCAGAATCCCCCCTCATTCCTGGCCTTAAAGGCCAAGCCCAGATCCTCTCTCTCTCTCTTTTTAAAGATTTATTTATTTGAGAGAGAGAGCGTGCACATTAGTGAGCGGCAGCAGGGAGGAGCAGAGGGAGAGGGAGAGAGAAAATCTCAATCAGACCCCCGGCTGAGTGTGGAGCTCGGTGAGGGGCTCGATCTCATGACCCTGAGATCATGACCTGAGCTGAAATCAGGAGTCAGACGCTTCACCCACTGAGCCACCCAGGCGCCCGCAGATCATTTCTTAAAAGTAGCTTGTACGTGAGACTTTTGAAGGTGATAGAAGATGTGAGTTCAGTTTGGTGGCCGCTTGCTGATGGCTTCTCCTGGCCCATCCCCAGCTAAGGCCCCCTGAAAGCCTCAGCCTCTGGCAGTTCTCTTCAGCCCAGTGACTGGAGGGCGCGTTCTGGTTGATGGGCAGTCTGCTGATAGGTCATGAAGGTGATATTTCTCTGTGCAGACCCTCAGGGGTGGAGTTGGCGTGGGTCCAGGTAGGAGACAGGATCACCAGTGGCCTCTCCTGGCCCCTGCTCCTGTCTCGTCCCGTCTCTGATCTCACCTGTCTCGTCCCGAGTCTAAGTGGGTGCTGGGCTGGCTGTTCGCAAGAGCGGCAGGGGTCAGGAAAGGGGTACTCTAACGCCATGTCATGTCACCTGTGATCTGGGCCAACTGGGACAGGGAGGTGTGCTTCGCCCTTCTGTTCATGTGGGGAGGGATCGACTGTTGGGACGGAGCTTACCCGAGGAGTCCTGCAGTCCCTGCTGGTATCAGAGCAGGGGTAGGTCCGGTGTTGATGAAGTAGGGCTTTCTGGCTCCGGGAAGGAGCCTTCTGTACAGTTTCCTCAAGTGATGTTTTCTGTAAAAAAATTGTCAGGACATGCCTACTTTCGCTTTCATTGTCCTAAATAATATCCTGTAGCCTGAAAGAACACATTTGTCTCTCATCAAAATCTGATGAGATTTAGTAAAGCCCCCTCCCCCCCACACAGGCTTCTGTTGGCCACCGAGCAGAATGTGAGTGGTGGAGGCCAGTGGGCAGCTCCCAGTGGCCCCCAAAGGCACCCTCCCTCCCTGGCCTCATGCTTCTAAAAATGTTCAAGTATTAATTGGAAGACTTCCCCCCCCCCCCGTAATTACTAAGGCAAAATAACTAAAGATCCACTGTTCCTTTGGCCTTAGATTATTCTAGCAAGTCAGTTTGTTGGTTCATAGTGTGTTTGGGCCTCCTGGTCCTTGTGAAGTTCTCTCATTGCTGAAGGAGCACGTGGAGCAGAATTTCTGCTTTCACTTGGTTATTGTTGAGGAAAAGTACCGAGAGGCCGAATTTGTGGTGCAGGAACAAGACACGGTGGACGCTCTTTGACAGCAGTGACTTTGCTTCAGCTTTATCTTCCCACGTGGGTCGCAGGGTGTTGCTCACAGGAGCAGGGGGCGGGTTACCAGGACGGCGTGGGTGGGTGATTTCATCAAAGGAAACCCCTCTGCTTTGTGTCTTTTAGAATGTCGTTCTTTCAGGAGGTTCAACGATGTTCAGGGACTTTGGACGTCGGCTGCAGAGGGATCTGAAACGAGTGGTGGACGCCCGACTGAGACTCAGTGAGGAGCTCAGCGGAGGCCGGATCAAGGTAGGGGGCGGGCGGGACGGGCGCGCTAGCCTGGCTGCTCTGGCCCCCTCCCACGGCTGGTCTCCCCCTGACCGATGAGCGAGCGGCGGGGGCCTGAAGTCGGAACAGGTTCGAGGCACTGTCTCAGCTGCACCATGAGATTACGTTCGGAGATTTGCTGTCTGACTCCTTCCAAGTGTCGCTAAGGCCGAGGGCCACTGGGCTGGCGGCAGCCGCCCGGCGCCCACGCCGACCCGCACCTGCTGGTTTCTCTGCCTTGCGAGAGACGGGGCCTGTTGTGTGATGACCAGCATCTAGGGAGAGGCGGTCCGTGTGCCGTGAGGGGCTTCACGTCCTTTGGAAACGTTCTCATTAAACGACAATAACCAATAGTAGCAGGGAGTTTCAGTGTGTGTCCCTCTGAGGTGATCGTTCTTCATGAGCGGGTGATGTTCCCTGGGCTTCCAAGCAGGACTGGGCTCTGGTGTGGGGTAAGTGGGAGCAAACATGCACCCTTTAACCTAGCAGATCACACTCTTGGCAAAGGGTCATTTTCACAGTAGATTTGGGACACGTAGTATTTGGAATTAGCTCTACGATGCTAAAACATCTAATTGGTTTAGTAAAAAAAAAAAAATCAGTTGCGTTAGTTGCTTGGATTTTTTACCGTTAAAAATGCCTTTAGCGTTGTGAACGATACATGCTCCTTGACTGGTGTGCTTTGATCCCTGCACCAGCCGGACAGGGGCCGGCGCTGGGTGGCTTTGGCCATGGGAGTGGCTCAGACGCTTCCTTTCAGAGTCACACGTGGCTCATGCCACCCCAGAGGGACTTGAGCACAAGGGACGGGCCTCGCGCCATCAGCTGGGAGGAGGCCCACGTCGGTCGCCACTCAGAGCAGAGCTGTGCTCTTGTCTGCAGACAGGTTATCAGGCGACCTGTCGTCTCGCCTGGCGAGTGACCTACGTTACTCTCCTTTCCAGCCGAAGCCTGTGGAGGTCCAGGTGATAACGCATCATATGCAGCGCTATGCGGTGTGGTTTGGAGGCTCCATGCTTGCTTCAACTGTAAGTCCTTTTCTAGACTGCTCTGTATTTTCATTCCCGCGCTCTTTGTTGAGTTTGAATAAATGTTGTCCCGTGAAGGTTAAATAGTGTGTGTTCGAATCGTGTGTGGCTCTTTTAGTTCCGGGAGATAGAAAAAATGTCTTAGAGGTAATTTCAGCTGCACGGCTAATTCTTGCTAAAAGGAGTTACAGGTAATATGGATAAGTGAAATCCAGAGACAACCTCAGACATCTTGCATTAATCATTAATTCCAGTGACTTTTTCAAGTAATTATTCCTTTTTCTCCTCAAATTTGTGAGTAGCCAGTGAATTGCTAATTTAGGGTGAGCATGTAGCTGGTCCTAAGTGGGGGCTGAGTACATTTTAAAGAAATGAAATGAAGTCCTGGTTCGTAGCTCAGGCCTCGGAGGGGCGCAGACCTTCCCGCAGGGGTCTGGCTAAGGAGTGGGGTGCCGGGTCAGGAGAGTCTCTGGCTTGCATCACGGTGTAGGACTCTGACCTCCTTCTGGGAAGGTCTCTCGATGCCCTCTAACCGCTGCCCCCCAGCCCGAGTTCTTCCAGGTGTGCCACACCAAGAAGGACTACGAGGAGTATGGCCCCAGCATCTGCCGCCACAACCCCGTCTTCGGAGTCATGTCGTAGCGTCCGCCTCGACACGGTCACCCGGGCACGTCGCGCCGGTGAGCAGGCACGTCAGGGCCGCACGAGACCGCAGCTCCTGTAAATAGTGGCGTTTGTGTCGATGTCGAGAAGCGTGCTTGCGTCGCCGAGTGCATGAGGCCGTCCAGTGCACGCATCCGTGTGCCCGCTGTCCGACGGCCCGCCCCGCCCCCTGCCTCCCCCTCCCGTCCCCGTCCTCCCCGCCTCCCCAGCTTCTAGTTGGCGAATTGAATTCTGGAGGAATTCACCTGTGACTTTAAAAATTGTTAGGGAAAAAACGGAGAAGATGACGCAAAATAGTCCCCCCAGGAAAGAATATGGGGCTGCAAACCCTTTTCCTCCCGGCCTATTTTTGTAAATAAAATGTTATAAACTTGAAATACAAATTGATGTTTATATTTCCTATCATTTTGTATTTTCTGGTATTTGGTACAACTGGCTGATCCTAAGCACGAATAGATATTGGTGTCATGGAGTGCCGTAAAAAAACGTTTTAATTGTGAGGCATGTTCTGATATGTCTGTAGGCAAACAAAATAAAACAGCAAACTTTTTTTGCCACGTTTGCTAGAAAATGATTACACTTTCTTGGAGTGACATGAAGTTTCAACACTAAACACTGTTGTATGAGAATCATTACAGATAATGTATCTTTTCATTTTCCTGTTTGAACTTTCTGGAAGTGTTCTATGGAAGATGCCGGTTTGCTGTTGGTGAGTGTTGGATGAAATGCTGCCTTGCACCCTCGTAATAAAAGCACTTAGACTCTTTATAAAGATTTCCTGCTGTGCTGTGCTGGTCTTTTGGTTTTCCCCTCTGTGCCCATTACTTCTTTTGAAGAAGGCTGAAATCTGTTTCCTGTCACTGGAGGATTTGGTGATTGGTACCAAGCTTGCGGAAGGAGATTTCCCAGAGGGACGAGGACTGCCTGTCCTCATTGACCGCTCCGTCCCCCCGGGGAGTCCGGGAAGTGCTGTGAAAGTGTCCAGGAAGAGTCCGGGAAGTGCCGTGGGGTGGGTGGGGGGGATGCTTCTACGGATTTCCAGCAGCCCTTGCTAGGAATTCAGAATCCTTGCTAAGCTTTCAGTAACTGCTCTGACATTTGCTGCGTAGATCGCTGGCTTGAAAGGTACTTTGTTAAATTAAGGGATCTAGGGTTGCTCCATTCTTCGTGTAATACTGACATTACTTTTTAAACTGTTACGGTGTTTGTTTAAAGTCATGACGTAGGTTTTATTCTCTGAAAATTTGCCTTCATCAAGAAAGATTTAGTTTCATTGTTTAAGTTTAGAAGCAAGTATGAGAATAATAATGTAAATTCTTCGCTGAGCATGGGGAAATCCAAGTTCCCCATGCCGAAGGCAGTCCCTGCTTATTTCTGATTAATTGTCAGTGACCCCAGACCCTCGGTCTCCCCACTGGAGAGTCTCAGACCACTTGGTTCTCAGGATCACTAGACTGTTTCGGTTTCTCATGGTTTCTCCAGCCACTATCGCACCGAGTTCCGGGCCGATCTGTATGCCTTCAGACGCGCACACCCATGCATCCCACGCGTGGTCGCAGGAGTGCTGTGTGCGGTGCGACTTTGCTAAGTGCAGGCTACGCAGGACCTTATTTAATCTTAACAACAGCCCTAGGAAATCGGAATTACCGTGATCCCCATTTTCCAGATAGGAAACCATGGCTGAAAGAAATTCAGTGCCTGCTCACGAGCACAGCTAGGAAGCAGAGAAGTCATGACTCCCATCTGTTCTGAAGGGTGCCATAACCGTCCTAGTAAGAGTAGGAGAATAACGGCAGTCAGGTGGGAGAGTGGGTGGTCAGACCCAATGGCGTGAGTCTCTCGAATGAATTCCCTTAGATACTGGAATAAAAAGAGTTTGGAAATGGCCATGAGGAGCTATAAAGTATTCCCCCTCTGATCCAAATCCTTTGGTAAGTAATGTGTTCTAGGAAGCCACCCACATAGGACATTTTGATGTTGAATTATTTTCATTTTTGTTCATAATGCTTTGCCAACGTATGTTTTGTTACATGCATTGACTTTGTTGTATTTCACAAGTAAGATAAAAAGAGTTGTTTGAGCGTTTAGAGCTGTAATGGGCCCACAGTAAGTATGCAATAAATCTTTGCCATTGTTATTACGTTATAAAGCAATTATTGTGTCCTGAGAGCCCTCCTCATCACAATTGCATTAAAAAATAGTTTCGGTGGGAGAAAAGAATTTTAGGTTTGTGAACTAAATGGCCTCTAGAACTTTCAGTAAGAAAATATTTTAAAAAGCTCTCTGTATAGAATTGTAGGATCTAAACATCACCTGGCCTTTTCTTAGTATTACATTGCTGATACAACTGAATCACTTTTATTCATGTAAAAGTCACCCTTTGCTGTGGGCACAGCCGTTGTCTTCCCACCGAGCTCTGTGCTGTGAGCCCTCCTTCTACAATCAGCACGAAGATGTCCTCGGTTTGGGTGAGGCATGTTCCACGGACGGGCTTTATATCACTGGGTGATCTCGGCGGCAGGACGGTACCAGCATCCTGGAGTGACCGGCCCCCAGAAGGGTTCCGTTTCCCTGGAGTGCTCCAGCACCCCCTTTGGATGAAGCCCCCATCGAGCCAGCTTCTCCTTACCCATGCACCACTGATGCCCTATGCCCCTCCCCAGACTGAGGTCCTTAAAAATGGGGAATGATCTTTGTACCCCCAGGACCTCCCAACGCCCAGCAAATACTGAACCGAATTCCTGTTCACATGGAGACTCCCTCGCTGGTTTCTCCAGGCTGCATGTGCTCTATACCGAGAAGTGTTACGTGTTTGGGGAACCTTGTAAGAGAGCTGGTTTTCCAGTGTCTGGGACGTTAACTGTCATTACCTTAAGACTGCTAAGGATATAAAATCTAGCTCTAAACAGTGACCCCGGTAGGCGTTCTGTGTACCTGGAAGGCGGATGTGCGATGCTGTAGCATGTGTCTGAGCGTGGGCACGGTGATCTTGAAGACCTGAGTGTACTTTATGGTAGTAATAGCCAGTTCATTCTCCAACTTAACTAATATGAATAAAGAGCTCTCGTGACTGAAGCACCGATTGTTCTGTGATTAATTCCTTCTTTATGATCCCTCCGTTCTATCCCATTTGTAAAAATTACGGTTGTGCCAAACAAGCCTGTGAGGTTAATCAAGTGCTCAGCTTATTTAAAACCACAGGAGAGCCCCATTAAGAATATTTATCTGTTAAATAATTCTTTACTTAATTGAAGAATATTTCATAATGTTTCTTTTAAAAGTTGCTGTCAGGCTTGTTAAGTAGAAATATAAATTGATTGGCAAAATAATTGTGTGGGTCTCTAATTGGCAATTACATCAATTTCACGTGGTCAGATGGAAATAAATCTTTTTAAAAAGGGGGAAAGAAACTACAGCTTGATATTGGTATCATGGAAGGAGGTTTCTAATATTGAGATGTTAGTTCTTTCTACCCTGTATTATGTCTCAGAAGTCAGCGGTTTATTCCCTGGTTGACTTCTCAGGTTTCACCGTTTTGTTTTTAGCTTGGGCTGCTATGGATGATTTCTAATCATGTGTGTGTGTGCAATAAATGTATATTAATTTAGTAGGACTTGCTGCTAAAAATTTCAGAACTTTGTAATTGATAAAAAGGAATATAACTTTAAATTATTAAAAAATTAATAATCACAAACCTAAGGGTTTATGATGTCAAAATATAAATGATGTGCTCTGGCTGTATTTTCAATATTAAGGAGTCAGATCAGCTGTAATAATTGATCAGAGCTCCATTTAATTCACCCTTGGCCGCATGTGCACTTCTACAGGTAAATTCTCAAGTTTCCCACTAGACCCACTTTGGCCTTGAGTAGTCTTTCTTCCCACTTCTGGTTTGTGCTTGGCAGCGGTGCCCGGATGATAGAGGTCTTCAGCGAGGGGCGCTCTGTGTCGTTGGCTCATGACAGTGTAGTGGAGCTGGGGGTGTGGGGCACAGAACAGGTTGTGTGAGATTCCGACTTCTCACCCCAGTGCTGCGCCTGGCTGGTCGTTGGTCCCGTGAGTCCCAGGTCACTTCTGTAAGCGCCTGTGAGCTACGGTGTGCCAGTCAGGGGTGCGGTGCCGACGGACACGGGTGTCCTCTCCCAGGGAAGAGATGGACATTAATTACAGAGTCACACACTGTGACTGACCATGGCGGGGCCCTGGGGGCGAGGCGCCGGGTCTGGGGACACACAGGGCCTGAGCCAGCACGGGAGTTGGGGGGGCCTGGGTGGAGGCTCCCAAGCGAGCGGTGTTCAGCTGAGATCCTGGGAGTGCGTGGAGGCCAGTGAAGGATGCGCGGGGAGCAGGCGTCCAGGAGGAGGTTTCCACGGCAGTTTTAAAGGCAGCGCTAATAGCCTGGTATGGAGGGCAGCGAGGAGGTAAGGGTGTCCGAGGCGGGGCTGGGGTGAGAGTTTTGGCCTTTCTCTTAGGAATAAAGCCCTTAAGAAGTACAGAGGGATTCTCAGATTTGCACAGACACGCCTGGGAGTTTCTACCAAGAGCTGTAGCTTTTCTCGAGTCACGGGGCAGACCTAGAACAGGGCAGGTGACGCGAGCTGGACCGGAATGCTGCTCTGGAGCTCGAGAATGGGCAGCTCCAGAGAAGTCCGCACGAGACCAGATGGCCTGGGAGGCACTGACAGGAAGGAGAAGCTGAAAGCTTTATGTCTTACTCTGTAAAACAACGGGCAGAGTTGAGGAGGAGTGTCAGGAGGGAGTCAGAAATCAGAATGGCCAGATCCTGTGATCTTTAGGTGAAGGTAGGGAGCAAACATTTTGAAGTTTAGGGATACTAAAATACGTAGCTGGTGGACGCAGTTTTCAGTCTTAAAATGGAAAGATAATTTCTCTGGCTGTATTTAGAAATAGCAAGGTCTTTTTGTATCCTTAGCGTGGTGCTCTTTTTGCAGAAAAAGCTACTGTGATTTGTCCATTACCGGTGATATTTGAGAACTGTCAAAGCATTTTGGATAACAGCGTAGTGCAGAGAAAGGACTCATAATAATAGTTAGAAATTAGCTACTTAGTGAGATAAATTGTGAGGTGTAACGGTGCCAACGACCGACTGAAGCTGTTCCGCTGACGTGTCTCGTCTCAGTTGGGCTCGTATATGAACTTGGGTTTCTGACTTGCAGTGGTTTCCTTGAACTGAATCAGTATGTTCTAACATTATTCATTAGGTCTTATGTCCACAGTAAATTAAACTTTATAGGTAATCGAAACATTATTACATGATAGAATTGCAGCTCTCTGCGGGAGAGTGTAAGAATGTTATTGCGATAGGGCACACAAGTTAAATGTCCCCTAATGGCAAAGGTCGATAGCATTATAAACTTTCTAGAAATACGCAGCTTATGTCCTGGTTGATTGACTGTTGAGTAACTTCTTAGAAAGTTTAATTAAATTAAGGTTTTTTTTTTTAACGTAATTTCTGCACACAATGAGGGGCTTGAATTCACAACCGCAAGATCAAGAGTCGCATGCTCTTCTGACTGAGCCAGCCAGGAGCCCCTTTTTAATTAAGTCTTTATTTTAATTCCAGTGTAGTTAACATGCAGTGTTCTGTTAGTTTCACGTGTACAGTATAGTGATTCAACGACTCCGTGTTCACCGTGTGTGTGTGCTCTGTAATCCCTTCATCTGTCTCCCCCATCCCCCGCCCCCCCTCTGCCAACCCCCAGTGTGTTCTTTGTAGTTGAGGGTCTGTTTCTTGGTTTGTCTTTTTTTCCTTT